TCTCACTGAGCATGATTAAAATATAGAAAAAAATTGTGATAAACCACACATTAGAAGTTAGAACATTTAAGATACAAATGTACACATAGTGTTCAATTACATGGCATTCCTTAGTTTGACTAAAACACCCTTCCAACTTAGGATAAAAACACAGCAGACAAACTGCTACGACTAATGTTAAAAGTCAATACAGATATGTTTTGTCTTCAATAATTTATAAACATTATTAAGATTGGTCCTATACAGGTCGCTGAGAGTCAGAACTGACTTGATAGAACTGACCATTAAGGTTGATATGATTTGTGTGTTTAAACTGGGCATTCAGCATCCCCTTTGTTTACTGAGAGAAATATACCATTCTTCCCTTAATTTGGAAAGTTCAGATTGCTATTTTACATATTTAACCATCTATTTGCAATCTGGGATACCAGTAAATGCCCTAAAATTGTCTCCCATTATCTCTGGGATAAGGGCCATTCTCAGGTCAACAAGAACCATGGCTTGGTAGCAGACAGTGGGTTCTCCATGTTCAGTTAATCCTTCAGTGCAGAGTAATTGTAAGGAATGGGATAGGGTGTTACATCAAATTAAATCATAGATGAAGAAATCCAAATTATTTTTGGATTTGTGTATTAGCTGGCTAGTCCCTAGGCGGCACAAATGGTTAGCACATTTGCCTGTTAACTGAGGCACCATCTCTCCCTTATTTTTTTCCTTGAGAATTTGGTATCAGCCTGGCACTGCCTAATAGTATAACTGACAACTCGAATTTGTTTCAACTCTTCTTGGAGCTTTCTCTTCAACAAAGTCTTGGGCTCCTGCTTTGTCCTTCATAGCCCAGACTCTTTGTTTTATTAGTCTGACATTTTGTTCTGACCTCTGTTGACGGTTTCTGGCCTCTGGCATACATTCTGTTTAGTCTCTCATTTTATTTATAACTTTTGCTCTTCTGCTCAGCTCAGACTAACTCATTGCTTTGTGATCTGGTCACACCTGCACTGCTCTATCTAATGTAAAATCTTATCTTATTCTCTAGCATCTTGCTTTTTGCCCATGACATTTATTTGGCTTCTTGCATTTTCATTTTTCTTGTACTCCTATGCTGATTGCACGTGTAAAATATCTGCATTGTGTCAGTTTGGAACAGCAATTTTGTTCAGAGAGAACACTATGAACCATACATTATGTGTTTAAAGCACTTTATGATTTTACAGAACATCTTCACACACAATCTTATTATATCCTCACAACAACCCTGTGAGGTAGGTGTTAAGATGTCCATTTTTTCAGGAGAAGGAATACAATCAGTGAGCTACAGATATGCATGCTACTGAGAATTCTACTAGAACTTTAATGATGTGAACCTATGGCTATATGTTGAAATGCAAAAAAGGCCAGTTGGGAAAAATGTGGTTTGCTAATCAGTGGACATATGCTCAAAAACAAAAAGGAATCTCACATTTTTCTATTCCTTTTGTTGAGTCTGTCTTTTCTTTCCTTTTCTGATTATTATTCCTTTCTTCACTACACAACATATCTGCAGTTCTACTGAAAAAAAACTTGTCCTAGGATCTATATTAACTGCATTACATGCAAAGAACTTTTTTGAGTAAAAAAATAATAAAATAAAATCGGCATATTTTTCATTATCAAGATGTTTTACTTTAAATATTTAGGTAATTTAAAGGAAAAAAAAGTATTTTGTTTGGTTTCAAATATTAATATTCCATAATTTGGATAATAAGACAGAAAGGTAAACATGAACAAATCAAAATAAACTTTTTAAATATCCAAAGGAATTCAAAAATCTTTATCTCCTCTGAATACCTACAGATCTTATTCTTGCCCCAGTATAGCTTATTGTGGTATAATTGCTTATTTTCTTTTCTACATTTCTTATGGATGATTTGTTCTATAGGACTACATATGGTATATGTTTAGTTTTAGGAAATGTACAACAAGAGTATGCTGAATGAATGAATAATTGAATGAATAAATCCTCTTTTATGTTTTTACTGCTCCTGGAGAAGAAGAATATTTATAAGCATAAAGAAACCACATGAAATAAGTAACCACTAGCTTTCTCCTGGGGCCCAGTGGATTGCTAGGTAAGTGAATGGAAGAGGGATGTTGGCCTGTATTCTGGCAACTGGTTGGAGTAGTCTGCCAGCCTGTACATGAGAGGCATCCAGGGCAGGGATGCTGAGGGATGGTGATGATAGTGGAGGAATACTGGAGTCAGAAGAAATATGGACATGGGAACAGAGGTGCAAACAACACTAAGGACCAGGAGAGGAAGTCATGCAGAGCCGAAAAGGACACGGGGACCAAGGTCACTTGGTGGAACCAAAAAGGGATCTTGGAAGTCAGTTGTGTTGATGAGTTGTCCAGAGATGAAGGGTCTTTTACTGAGATGGTAGCAGAGGTGTCCTACTCAGACCACCTGATCTTAAAAGGGTCCTGCCCTAATATGATCAGGGAGTTGGACTGGTCCTGATACATATATAAAAGAGGAAATCATTGATTATTTAATATATTTAAATCATACCTCAAAAATAGAAAAAATGTGTGTTAAAAGTTGCATTAAAATATTGTATTTTAGGTAAAATATAAATATGTATACTAAAATGTGTATAAAAATCTTAATTCCATATTAAAAGTTTCATAGAACTTTGTTGTTGTTAAGTGGCTTCGAGTCAGTTCTGAGTGGCACTGTATAGGGTTTCTGAGGAGCAACTGCTGAGTTTGAACCACCAACCTTGAAATTTAAATGGACCTTGAGGTCCAGTGCATAGTGCCACACACATTTTAATTTTATGTCAAAATTTGTATAGAGTTATTTAGTCTATATAAATTTTCACATATCAGAATAAATTGAAGATTAGGAGAATTAGTTACTTTCATATGGAATTACTTGATACAACATTTTGGTAGCCATTTGGAATAATCTAATTTTAAAACATATAACCTTTGCACAATTAATTTTACTTTGAAGAAGTTCTCTACTAAAAATATTCTCAGAAGATCATATAAGAAAATGCTGGATATAGTACTGCTTTTTAAAATCAAACACAATGAAACAAAATCACTAAATGCTCACGATTAGGGTATTGAATGGTATAGCTTTAAATGGAATAATGTGTAACCACCGAGCTATATGTACTAAACTGGCCAGATTGCTGGTATAATACTGAGGAAAAACCCAACTATACTGTAGAGATGGTTATGTATATAACCCTTTATCTTTTTCATATGTTATGTTGTTGTTGTTAAGTTCCATCAAGTCATTTCCAACACATAGAGACCTGTATAGGGTTTCTGAGGTGTGGCTGGTGGGTTTGATCTGCCAACATTACGGCTCAAGTTGATCTTTTGGTCCAGTGTTTATCCTATAGAGCCACACCAGGACTTCTCAAATACAGAGTTGTTATACTCTGTCCATTGGTATGTGTGTGTGTATGGGTATATGGACACTATATACAAACATATATCTCTTAAAGCTCTGTCAAAGAGAGTAGACACATAAACTCCAAAACAGTCATAAAAATATATATATACTATGAACATTTATGAAAAAAATGTTCAAAATATTGATAATCTTAGGTAACAAAAGACAGTGTGGCTGTTCAGTTTTCAGACAGAAAAATAAACAAATATCCTACCTTATTTGCTAATTTTAACCAGTCAATGTTAAGAAGCTCAGAAAAGCCCCAAGAATAAGAGAAAAAGAGATAAAGAAAAAGAAAAGACAAAGGTCCATTTACAGATGAAGGTAGGTAAGAGAGAATTACAAGAGGAACCTAACTGGAAAACAACTGGAGTGAAAAAGAGAAAAGGGGGATTAGCTTAGTAAAACATTTTTAGCAGACAAAAGTGACCACATTGAAGAATAAATGTACATGAAGTAGAAGATATACCTATGTTCCTATTACCCTAAAATGTTAATTATATCCATTATCATTATTATCACTGAATAATGTTATAAGACTGAGATGACACACACTTAGTATAACACACTTTATTCATTACCTTTGGGTCAATAGCTGTTGAAAGCATCATTAGATTTTGGAATTCACAATAATTATCTAAGTTGTCTAAATATAGTGTCCATAGACTATTAGGTCAAACTATTTTTGCTAAAGCAAAAAAAAAGTGGTTCTGTATTTTTTAAAACAATAATTACAAGTTAAAAAGACTAAATTTTAAAGAGGAATTTGTTATATTAAATGTCTGCCTATAGCTGAACCCCTGATGGGCAAAGATTTTGACTGCTGGATTATGTGTGTGCGTATCTTCTACTAAGGATATAGGAGGAGCCATTGATTTGGAGAAAACATTCCTCTTCACAATCTTTTCATTAGTGTAGATTTCTCCTAGGCACACAATGAACTTATGGCAGGGCATACTGAAGACATATCACCTACTAGTTAGTTTTTAAAGCCCAGTTAATAGGTTCTTTACATAACAACATCACACTATGAGGTCCTGTTGAGATATCTATTCTATTAACAAAGTTTTGAAGGTTTAGGACATAAAATACCACTTTTTCAAAATTTTAGTAACACAAAACAAAATAAAACTCAGCCATCAGGGAATTACTTTGGAAGCAGGGAGCCTAGGCTAGCCAAATTCCTATATAAAAGATTTCAGTTAGCTCAGTTAGAAGGTAAGAAGGCAGTAATTGTTTCAATTCATAAGCTTGATTTTTCTTTAGTGGATTGAAATTGGCTTGAAAATTGTACAATTTTCTTTGTGGAATTTTTGAAAATAGTGCTCATCACAAAAACAAAATACAAATGGGTAATGAGATTCAACACATGTAATTTAATCTATTTGTTTTACTCCAATTAGTATGCTTTATCTTAGAGAAAACTGTGGCTGGGTGCCATAGAATTTCTACTAATCAGTGCTGAAGTTTTCAACATTTACCTCTAGTTCAGCCCATTCCTATCACATGCATAGTCAAAAGTACATACAGAAAATAAGAACTATAAACTTACTTAGTGTGCTTCCACTTCCTTTTTCTCCTTTCTGGCCCTTTTGTCCAGGGATACCTTGAAAAAAAGTAAAAAAACAAACAAACAAACATATATATATATATATATTTACTACAGACTAATTTAAAATTAAGACAAACACAATAACACAATGCTTGTTTTAAATGGAGTCAGAGCATTTACAAGATAGTCTAAAATAACCATGTATAACAACCTAATCTTATAAGAGTCCTGGTGTGATGGGAATCCTGGTGTGGTGCTATGGGTTAATGTGCTGGACTGCAAAGTCGGTTTGAACCACAAGGTTGGTGGTTCAACTTCACCAGCCACTCCTCGGAAACCCTATACAGGGTTGCTATGGGTTGGAACCAACTCGATGGCAATTAGCAACAACAACAAAAACAAGCTAGAGATATGGAGTCCTGATGGGATGCTGTCGGATAAAGCACTGGACCTCAAGGTCAGTGGTTCAAACTTACCACCTGCTCCTTGGAAATCCTACACCAGATTGCTCTGAGTTGGAACCTATTCGACAGCACTTAACAACAACAACAACAAGCTAGTGATATAGAAATATAATAATGCTGCTGCTGCTGCTGAGAATAGTTATCATGTTAGAAGTTGTATTATGAACCTGAATTGTTTGACTAGATCATTGAAGCACATTATCTTAAATAATTTGCAAGGGCATTGGTGGTGATGGTTATGTGCCATGGAGTCGGTTCCAACTCATAGTGACCCTGTACAGGCTTTCTGAGGCTGTAAATCTTTATGGGAGCAGAAATCCTCATCTTTCTCCCGCAGAGCAGCTGGTAGTTTTGAACTGCTGACCTTGAGGTTTGCAGCTCGATTCGTAAACACTACGATACCAGAGGTCCTTTACAAGGGCATTACCTACTGCAATTGAGTGTGTTTCAATTCATAGTGGCCCTGTAGATGGTACTGGTAGAGATACAAATGACTGCAACTAACCAAGTAGACCTACCCCATAGGGCTTCCAAGAGTATAAATCTATGGAGGTATACTGCCATATCTTTCGTCTACAAAAAGTGACTGGTGGGTTTTAACTGGTGACCTTTTGGTTAGCAGCTGAGTACTTAACCACTCTGTCACCTTTTTCTTACACTATTTCCTTCTTTCACCTCTTTTCTTAGCATCTTCAATCTCTCTTCTATTATATCTGTCCATGAGAATTTAAATTATATTCAAGACTCCCCTTCAAATAAAGAATCTAAATCAATAACAACAGCAACAAAAACACAACAAAGAACAAACAGCAACTCTCTCCTCCTTATGGTTCACATCAGATGACCTCTTCACATAATCCAATCTGGTTTCCACTCTACCCACCAAGAAACAGCTCTCAACACAGGAAACATCTCCATATCAACAAATTCTAAGCCCTTTTTGAAAATTATTTTACTTTTTGAAACTCCCTCTGCCTTTAGCTTCTTTCCTAGCACATTTTTCTGTTGATTTTATTTTATGTTTTATTCTTCCCAGTGTGCTGCTTTGTCCCTAGTACCTTAGCCTGGACTTCTTAACTCTTTGCAGTTCATTCTTAGACTCTTTCTTTTCATATCTTCTTTGCTGTCTCTACCCATGAAAGTTTTACTAAAATTACTGGTTTCTGTGACCATTTGTATAATCTTAGCTGCAGTTTTGTATCTCTACCTTTGCCTCTCATCGGAACGCCTATGGATATCTAACATAGAGGGCATTAGTAAATGTGTTTTGAATACATAAATGGATAATTTATTATATATAATTCTAGCTAATTAAAAAAAAAAAAAAAAGCCTGCAACTCCTTGGGGATTGACTGTAGGAGCCTAATTTAAGTGAGGCCTATTATTTACAGGCTGGAAGGTCTCATTTATTTGACAAGTGGTGACTCTAGAGGAAAAGCACTGAACTGTGAACCACAAGGTCGACAGTTCAAGTCCACCAGCCAATTTTGAGAGAAAGAAGAGGCTTTCTACTCCTAGAAAGAGTTACAACTCTATACAGTATCACTATAAATTGGAACCGACTTGATGGCACTTAACAATAATAACAACATCCAGATTTCTTTAGAGATTTTGAAGACAACTAAGATATCATTTCAAGGAGCTCTGGTAGCGTACTGGTTACGAATCTGGCTGCTAACCTCAAGGTCAGCAGTTCGGAACTACCAGCCATTCCGCTGGAGAAAGATGAGGCTCTCAGCTCCTGTAAAGATTTACAGCTTTGGAAAACCTGTGCAGCGTCACTATGAGTCGGAACTGACTCCATGGTACTTAACAACAATAACAACAAGGTATCATTTCAATTAAATTTTCAAAACTTTCTGAAGGAAATATATTAGATCTTATCCATTTTTCATAGATCGGCTAAGCATGGAGAAAGCATGTATGCTTCCATTTCTTATATATGCTTATCCTATCAGTTAAGGAAAGTTTTACTCATCTCGCATTGCTTGTACTTAGCATAGTATCTCATATGTACAAGGGGACTTCTAAAAGTTCCAGGAAAAAAATAGAAGTAAAAGATAATGGATTTTTTTCATGAACTTTTTGAAGCCCACTCATATATTGCATAGACTCCTGGTATGGCACTGTAGGATCAACACTAGACTGTGAACCACAAGGTCAACTGTTCAAACCCACCAGCTGCATCTAGGAAACCATATATAGGGTCCCTATGACTTAGAACAGACTCGGTGGCACTTAACAACAACAATATATTTTAATACTTCAAAATGTAGATGAAAGTGGAGTGGGGAAGGAGAGGGGGGAGCAGGAGAGAGAGTAAATAAGGGCTACTTTTTCATGAACTGTTTGCTTTGGATATGTTACTGCTTCCTCTATCATCTGAACAGATCAAGCTGTATCATCAACTACAGTATAACAATTATTAGATTTTATTTCTAATTTTATAATTTGTCTATAATTATATAATTATACACTAAAGTCTATAATGAACACACACATACAGAGTACCGCTATGAGTCGGAAACGACTCCACAGCACACAACAACAACAACA